GAGGACATTTAGGTTGTTTTCAAGTTTCAGCTATTACCAATCAGCTGCTCTGAACATTCATATACAATTTAAATGTAAAAACATATGCTTTCTCTCTGGCAAGAGGACTGGTTTCCCGGCCACGGATGTTCCGGAGGGGAGAGGGGTCACACACATCCCAGGCACAAGCTGAGAGGAGCAGCTCATCTGGCTAATACTGAGCAGGTGGCAGGACAAATGCCTGCCCCCTCCCCCGGGCCCCACGCCTTCTGCAAGAATCTCCTGGGGGCTGTTGAAGCCGCTGGGAGCCCCACTGGCACCTCAGAATCACAGTGTAACTGATCAGGATGTGAGGCTGTTGTCTGGGGAGGCTGGGGGGAAAGGAGTGGGTGTGCCAGCCAGCATCCTCTTTGCCTTCCTTTGCTAACTTGGGATTTTGAGCCGGTTGGGGTATAGCTGTGATTCCCTGCCGCCCTGAGAACCTCTCTGTTCCCTTCTTGGGCCTAAACCCAGGCTGCTGATCCAGGGGGGGTGTCCACTGAGGGTGGGATGGAGGTGGTTACAATGGGGGGAAGTGGCCTGAGTTGACCCTGGGTTCCTCACATGCTTGTCCTTTGGGGGCTTGAGGAACAGGGGTCAGGGCAAACAGAGGTCGTGGTGCTGGCTCAGGATGGGGCTACAGAGTCAGAGTTACTGATTTCATTTTCAATAAGCCTAGGTTTGTTACATTGGTTTCCCAATTTTTTAAAAATAGACTTCTAAAAATAAATAAATAAAGATACCTTGTTTGGGCTCAAACAGATCCTTGTACACTCGTGGTCAATACAGCATTATTCACAATCCTGGAAAGGTGGAAAGAACCCAAGTGTCTACCTGCAAATGAATGGATAAACTGAATGCAGTCTACCCATGCAGTGGAGTATCACTCCGCCATTTAAAAAAAATGATTTTTGCCTAGCCGGCGTGGCTCCTTGGTTGAGCATTGACCTATGAACCAGGAGGTCACAGTTTGATTCCCAGTCAGGGCATATGCCCAGGTTGTGGGCTTGATCCCCAATGTGGAGCATGTAGGAGGCAGCTGATCAATGATTCTCTCACATTGATCATTGAAGTTTCTATCTCTCTCTCTCCCTCTCCCTTCCTTTCTGAAATCAATAAAAAATGTTTTTTTAAAATGATCATCTTTAAAAAATAAAATTTAGTACATGCTACAAGATGGATGAACCTTGAAAATATTATGCTAAGTTGGGGGGGAAAAAAGCCAGTTATGAAAGGACAAGGTATTAGCTGGCTCGAGCTGCCATAACAAAATACCACATATTGGCGGGCTTAAACAACAGAAATTTATCTTCTCACAGCTCTGAAGGCTGGAAGTCCAAGATCAAGGTGTGGACAGATTTATTTTTTCCTGAGGAGAGCAGCTCTCCTTGGCTTGCAGATGGCCACCTTCTCACTATATCCGGACATGTTTATCTCTGGCTGTATTATGTGTCCTAATCTCCTCTTCTTATACGGATACCAGTCCTATCAGATTAGGACCCATCTATATGAGCTCATTCACCTTAAGTACCTCTGTGAAGACCCTGTCTCCAAGCACAGTCACATTCCGAGGTACTGGGGATCGGGACTTCAACATATGGATTTGGAGGAGACATAACAGCCTATAATAGATAAATATTATGTGATTTATATGAAGTACCTAGAATAAGCAAACTCAGAGAGACAGAAAGTAGAACGGTGGTTGCCAGGGGCTGGAGGGCAAGGGTCACAGGAGTTATTGTATAGTGGGTAGAGTTCTACTAAGAATGATGAAAAAGTTCTGAAGATGAATGTAAGTGGTGATGGTTGCACAACACTGTGGATATACTTAATGACACTGAACTGTACATTAAAAATTGTTAAAATGGCCAAAACCGGTTTGGCTCAGTGGATAGAGCGTCGGCCTGCGGACTGAAAGGTCACAGGTTCGATTCCGGTCAAGGGCATGTACCTGGGTTGCGGGCACATCCCCAGTAGGGGGTGTGCAGGAGGCAGCTGATCGATGTTTCTCTCTCATCGATGTTTCTAACTCTCTATCTCTCTCCCTTCCTCTCTGTAAAAAATCAATAAAATATATTTTTAAAAAAATTGTTAAAATGGTAAATTTTATGTTATATATATGTATTTTTATAATAAGTTTTAAATGAATAAACAAAGACTGTTAGAAAAATAAGAGAGATTAAAAATGAGCCGAAGCCGGTTTGGCTCAGTGGATAGAGCGTCGGCCTGTGGACTGAAAGGTCCAGGTTCGATTCCGGTCAAGGGCATGTACATGGGTTGCGGGCACATCCCCAGTAGGAGATGTGCAGGAGGCAGCTGATTGATGTTTCTCTCTCATCGATGTTTCTAACTCTCTATCTCTCTCCCTTCCTCTCTGTAAAAAATCAATAAAATATATTTTTTTAAAAATAAAAATAAAAATAAATTTAAAAAAAATAAAATTGAGGGTAGACACAACTAAAGATTAACCCTCAGATCATAAATACTTTTTTATTTTTTTATTTTTGTTAATCCTCACCTGAGGAAATTTTCGCCATTGAGTTTAGAGAGTGGAAGGGAGGGGGAGAGACAGAGAGAAACATCAACGTGAGAGAGACATTAATTGGTTGCCACATGCCCCCCAACTGGGACCGAGGACCAAACCTGCAACCCTTGACCAGGAATCAAATCCACGACCCTTTGGTGTGCAGGCCGATTCTCTCACCACTGGGAACATCAGGCAGGACACAAGTCATCAATTCTTAAACAGACCTCACT